CGTGCTAAAGGACTCGCGCGTCTACTTTACGCTGGATTGGATGAAGGGCTACTGGCAACTGCCTTTACACCCCGATTCCCAGGAGTATTACTCCTTCATGACGCCGGTCGGTGTTATTACGCCGACCCGGGTGTTAATGGGACAGTCTGACGCAGTGGCCTATTGCCAAGGTGTGGTCGACGAACTGTTCGGCGATCTGCTCATGTATGGTGTCCTCGGATGGCTTGACGACCTACTGGGATACACCGGAATGACCACGGAGCTTTTGCAGTTGCTCCGACAAGTGCTGGGGATCTGCCACATTTCCGATTTGAAGTTGCATCCGGGCAAATGCACGTTTTACACGACCCGGATGATCTGGTGTGGGAAAGAAATTTCCGCCGAGGGTGTAGCGCACTCGCCGAGCCGAGTGCAAGGCCTGTGCGGGCTCGAGCCACCGCAGACCGCTGCGGACCTCCAGCAGTTCCTGTGCGCGACGAATTGGATGCGTGCGAACATCCCTCAGTACACCGATCTAGTTGCCCCGTAGACGAGGTTGGTGGATATCGCGGCCAAAGCAGCCGACTCCCGCCAGAAAACCGCGTTGACAAGAGTGGCATTGAGTTCAGTCGGATGGGCCGAGGATCATTTGACCTGTTTCGAGCGGGTCAAAGCGACGCTACAGCGCATGGTGCCTCTGTCCCACCCGGACCCTGATAAGATGGTGTGCCTCTACACCGATGCAAGCGAGGGGTTTTGGGGGGCAGTCGCTACTCAGGTCCCCTCCGAGGATCTCGCACTGCCTGCAAATGACCAGCGACACGAACCGTTGGCTTTCCTGAGTGGCGCTTTCCGAGGTTCCAGCGAGCGATGGCCGATTGTCGAGAAGAAGTCGTTTGCGGTGATTGAGGCCTGCAAACGATTGGAATACCTCCTGATTCGGCCCGGCGGTTTTCGGCTCTCTACCGACTATCGCAACCTAGTGTACATGTTCAATCCGTTGGGATAGAAATTTCCGCCGAGGGTGTAGCGCACTCGCCGAGCCGAGTGCAAGGCCTGTGCGGGCTCGAGCCACCGCAGACCGCTGCGGACCTCCAGCAGTTCCTGTGCGCGACGAATTGGATGCGTGCGAACATCCCTCAGTACACCGAGCTAGTTGCCCCGTTGACGAGGTTGATGGATATCGCGGCCAAAGCAGCCGACTCCCGCAAGAAAACCGCGTTGACAAGAGTGGCATTGAGTTCAGTCGGATGGGCCGAGGATCATTTGACCTGTTTCGAGCGGGTCAAAGCGACGCTACAGCGCATGGTGCCTCTGTCCCACCCGGACCCTGATAAGATGGTGTGCCTCTACACCGATGCAAGCGAGGGGTTTTGGGGGGCAGTCGCAACTCAGGTCCCCTCCGAGGATCTCGCACTGCCTGCAAATGACCAGCGACACGAACCGTTGGCTTTCCTGAGTGGCGCTTTCCGAGGTTCGAGCGAGCGATGGCCGATTGTCGAGAAGGAGGCGTTTGCGGTGGTTGAGTCCTGCAAACGATTGGAATACCTCCTGATTCGACCCGGAGGTTTTCGGCTCTCTACCGACCATCGCAACCTAGTGTACATGTTCAACCCGTTGGGGTCGAACTCCAACATGGCTAAGTATCAGGCCCACAAGCTTCAGCGGTGGGCGCTGACTATGACAACATTTCCATATGTGGTGGAATGTGTCGCCGGGGAAGACAATCTGTGGGCCGACCTCCTCAGCAGGTGGGGCAGTTTAGCGGGGCCCGACCGAGGCGCCCGAATGCAGAAACTGGCATTAGTTTCCCCGTTACGTGCCGATGAATTCGTATGGCCGACGGCGAATGCGATCACGGCATTACAACGTGAACCCCCCGAGCGTGAGCGATGTTCGACCTGGAGCGCTGAGAAGAAATGTTTTTTGTCGGCCTCGGGGAAGATTTGGATCCCTGACGATGCGCTGGACATGCAAGTGCGCATATGTGTGGTGGCTCATGCGGGCGTGGCTGGTCACCGCCACGTGGAAGCAACAACTGCCTCGGTAGCCGACATGTTCGATTGGCCGACCCTGAAAGCCGACGTGAAGAATTTCGTCCGCGCATGTCTCCATTGCATTGTGGTCGACGGCGAATCTGTGCCTCGGCCTTGGGGCGAAGCAGCTAATCCATTCCGACTGGGTTTCGTTTCCGGAGGCCGAGGGTGGCCTCAAAAATGTGTTAGTCATCAAAGATGATATGAGCGGGTTCGTACGCCTCCACGCGAGTGCATCGGCAACGGCTGTCGAAACCGCCTCGGCGCTGATGGAGTGGTTCGGTCTGTTCGGCGTTGTGAAGACCTGGGTGGTGTCCGACTGTGGGTCCCATTTCAAGAATGAACTCATTAACACGATGGGTCTGATGTTCGGGGTCCATCACCATTTTGTCACGCCTCACTGCCCATGGGCGAATGGAACGGTCGAGGTGGTGAACCGAGTCATCGTAAGGACACTCAAGGCATTGTGCAGCGAGATGCGCCTGCGCCCCACGGAGTGGCCTATGGTGTTACCGTTAGTCCAATCGGCTTTTGAACCAACAACCGTCCGACCGTCTGAGCGGAATTGCACCTACGACAGCGTTTACCGGCCTCCCGGCGACTCCTCCATTGTCTGGCTTAGTCCATCCCGAGGAAGCCCACGAAGCTACCATCGACTGGGTGAAGGCGGAAACTACACACCACATAACCGGGCTTGCCGAGGCGTTGTGTACGATACACAAAACGGTAGTAGCAACATCCGGTGTGAAGCGCGCGAAGACCAGAACTCAGCGCAATGGCAAGAGCTCGGTTAAGTTCGCCCGGTTTGCTTTGGGTGATTTAGTTCTCGTGGCTCGGGCGCTTCAGCATCCGGGCAAGTTGTCCTTGCGTTGGAAAGGACCATGCTGTGTCATGAAGGTGGTCTCGGACCATCTTTTGGAAGTGCAACAGCTGATGCCACCAGGCGAAACGTCTTTGCACCATACCAGCCGCCTCCGGTTTTACTGCGAAGGCGGTCGAGACATCGATGAAGACCTTAAGGCGCATATTGCATTCGGTGATGAAGGTTTCTAAGTTAAAGCTCTTCAAGACCTCCGTATGAGTGATGCTGCCTGGCAAGTGAAGGTCAAGTAGCTCGATCTCGATGATGTTGAGTCATCTTGGGAGCCGGCTCTGTCCATCTACGAAGACGTTCCAGTACTCTTTTGGTGCTGGGCTATGAGCCGCCTTGATGATTACGGTGTGGGCGAAATGCTTGACGACATGGAACGTGCGTTTGGTCACTCGTTGTAGGGGGGAAGTGTTCTCGGCCATGCCTCGGATCAACTACCCGTGCAAGTGTGTGTGCAGTTGACAGTGAGTTCAGTCGAGTTCTATTTTTAGACTCGCCGAGGGAGCATCTAATTAATCCCTCGGTGGATCCTATTTAGGCCCAGGCTAGGACTTACCTCCCTCGGTACACTGTAAGTATATTGACTGTGATGCCTGGATTACAGCGAAGTGATTCGCTGGTTTATGGGCACATAACCTGAATGATAATGAAGACACTTTTGGATTTGTCGTCCAAGTCTACCGTCGTGAGCACGGTAGCTGGTTGTGCAAGCCGGCGCAGACAACAATCAAGCCTCCAATAGATTACTAGTATACAGCTTGAACTCGATACATTACACGCAATCCATGTCGAATTATCCGGACATTAGACTTGAAAATGGCCCTGCCCAGAATTTGCTCAGGGATCGACAACAACTACCGAGCAAGATGACACCTCTTGGTTGGGAAGTTACCCCGAAAGGACAACAGTAAAAATCTGCAGGAAAAGCCGCGACTTGCAGCAGCAGCTGTACGTACATAACACAAAACAACACAAAACTCAATTAGATCATCGAGACTGGCAACACATCCTGTGCGCCAAGTCGGCAGGCGTCGGTACTATGAGTACATGGCCGCATACGGCATATCAAAGGCCGTCGTGCGTTGCAGTCGCTTGTACATCTGATAGAGGAGGACCTCTTCTTCGGTTTCCAGCACATCGGCCATGTTGTCTTCATACTCGAGGGGCGCAAACTTCCTTACCTGGCCCCCCATGGTATTGGTATCCCCAAACACGGGGAAAAGTTTCAGAGCTTGTAGGTCGTCTACGAGGGTACCCCCCGCCGCCAGTTCTTCTCGGAGGACCGAGTTGACGTATTCGCAATGCTTTCGAATGTACTGCCACGCAGTCTCGCGGGTCAGTTTCTGGTGGTCCCTGTCCATGGTCATCATACAAACTTCGCCGTTCCGGTCTACCCAGCAAAGAAGCCATTCGTCCTGCAGATTCGTCAACACGCCGACGGGAGTAGGTCGATATGCTTGCTTATCGAAGAGGGTATGCGCTGCCAGCAAGTATCTCGCCGTCTGAGCGATATTGGCGACCGACAGCGTGTCATGTTTTTTCAGCTCGATCACCATCACCACTTCCGTACGGCCACACATGTTAGTGCAACCACTTGGGACGACGTACAAGTCGGGGGCCCCCGTGAGTCTGCGTCGGGATTCGCCCACGGGGTGCTGAGGCCGAGGTGAACCGTGGTTGTGATCATGAGTTGCGGAAAGTCCCGCAGCATATACGCAACGCAGTCCTTGTACCTTTGAACGTTCCTCGAGTCGGTCTCATTCACACCGTCCATCCATTCGAAGTCTGGAATATTCTGCCGCGGGACGCCGTCCACCGGCGGCAACATCCACCCTTTCATGGAATACCCCAACTCTGTGATTTTCGGAAACGTCAGCTTTGAAATCGACAGGGAGCCCTCGTCTTCGTCTCTCTTGTGTTTCTTGCATACGCCCTCAGCGATCTCGACAAGCGACGCCGCGGAGCTTGCGGCGGGTTGTTCGGGGGCGACCGCGAACACGTAGACTTCTTCTTCGTTTGATGGGAATGTGCCTCCAAACGCTTTCTTAATCGAGATCGTTGGCCCCATCGCCTTGAAGCGTTGGACGTCTTGGAGGTCGGCTAGTGTCACTGCTGCTGCGGTTTCGCAGGAGAACCCGGTACCATCCTTCGCCATGAAGAGATCCATCTCGTCGGCTGGGAATTGGTACATCGCTTTGATCGCAATCTTGTCCTTGAGCACACCGACGGTCTCGTCCTCGCCGATTGTCACGGGGAAAGGACACCCTGTACCTCCGACAACGACGCAGAACAATTGCGAGGCATACTTGGGGACGACCGCGAACACGTAGACTTATTCTTTGTTCGGTGGAAATGTGCCTCCAAACGCTTTGATCGAGATCGTTGGCCCCATCGCCTCGAAGCGTTGGACGTCTTGGAGGTCGGCGAGTGTCACTGCTGCTGCGGCTTTGCAGGAGAACCCGGTACCATCCTTCGCCATGAAGAGATCCATCTTGTCGGCTGGGAATTGGTACATCGCTTTGATCGCAATCTTATCCTTGAGCATGCCGACGGACTTGTCCTCGGGGATGGTCACGGAGAAAGGACGCCCGGTACCGACAACGATGCAAAACAATCGCGGCATTTTCGAAAACTGGTGCATTGTTGAACGCCTTTTCCTAACTGTGACACATCTCAACGGTATTCTTATTTCAAATTATCCGGATGGTTATCCGGGTGCCCAGGTAAAATTCACGAACTTTTAGCAATTATTTGTGATTTTTAGGATTGTTTTAGCCAATCGGAGAAGGTATTTTGGGAACATACACCTTGGCCACAAAATTCCGTTCCTGCCATGAACCTTGGAAGCGGCGGCGCGGCGGGCTTTGGAGGGTTTGGCTCCACCTTTGGGTCGAAACCTTCGGCTGCATTTGGGTCTACCGCCCCCTTCGGCACGTCCTCCTCCACGGCTGGCCCTGCATTTGGGGTTACATCCACGACGTTTGGAATTGGTCGTCCTGCTGCTACCGCACCGGCGTTTGGGTCATCAGCGGCATCGACGCCTGCAACGGCCTTTGGAGCGTCCGTTGGGTTTGGGAGCTCGTCTTCGGCAGCGTTCGGTGCACCATCGTCGGTCGGAACGACGATCTCTGGGTTCGGTACAGCCGCGGCACCCACGGCGACATCCTTTGGCAGTGCTGCTCCGCCCTCCACTGCCTTCGGAACATCCGCCGCTCCTTCGATTAGTAGTACAGGGTTTGGTGGACTGGCCACGTTTGGGCAAACGACCTTTGGCAGTGCCGCCACCGCACCCAGTGCTACCTTCGGGACCACCACTGCACCTACCACTGGATTCGGGACCACCACTGCACCTACTACTGGATTTGGTGGCGTAAGTACGACTACGCCTTTTGGAAGTAGTAGTACTACTAGTACGTTTGGAGGTAGCGCGGCACCACCTACCACTTCGTTTGGTAGTACATCCAGTGCCCCCTTTGGAAGTGCTGCTGCGCCGGCGACTACTAGTACCTTCGGTAGTACTACTACGTTTGGTGGTAGTACGGCCACTGCATTTGGCAGTACCACTAGCACCCCCTTCGGAAGTACCGCTCCTGCATTCGGTAGTACTACTACTACGTTTGGCAGCGCGGCACCTACAACTACATTTGGCAGCGCGGCACCTACGACTACATTTGGCAGCGCGGCACCTACGACTACATTTGGCAGCGCGGCACCTACTACCACGTTTGGTAGTAATACTAGCGCGTTTGGCACGACTGCTGCCCCCACGGCGTTTGGTAGTTCCACGACACTGGCCACTACGTTTGGACGTACTAGCCCTGCACCTACTACCACCACGTCCTTTGGAAGTAGTAGTACTACTACCTTTGGCAAGGCTGCGACGTCGTTTGGACGTACCAGTCCTGCCCCAACCACCACCCCGTTTGGAAGTACTAATAGTAGTACTACCTTTGGCCAGGCTGCACCTACTGCAACCACCCCCGCTACCACCTTTGGTAACAGCGCGCCAACGACATTTGGCAGCTCGAAACCTGCGTCTTTTGGCAGTACTTCCACCTCCACGACCTTTGGCAGCTCGAAACCTGCGTCTTTAGGCAGTACTTCCACCTCCACGACCTTTGGCGGCTCGAAACCTGCGTCTTTTGGCAGTACTTCCACCTCCGCGACTTTTGGCAGCTCCACGTTCCAAGATCCCACTGCTTCGTCTTCCATTACCACTGTGTTTGGTCGATCGAGTGGTTCACAACAACCTCCTGCGTCTTTTGGCAGTACTTGCTCCCCTGCTGCGTCTTTTGGCAAACCTCCACCGTCGTCATCCACGTTGAACCCACCGCCGCTTCCATCTTCGTTGAAACCATTCAACCCTCCTACCCACAAACGTCTTCCCCCTCCGCCGCGTCCGACCTCTCTCAAAGCGGCGGCGCCTCTGCCGTCCCCCGATGGCTCCCCGACCCACGACACGTCCCGCCGCCGCCGCATTCCGCCATCTTCAATGGACGACCAACCAGACAACGACGTGGAGAAACTCGACTTGTCTTCGGCTGTGACCATCGACGGACTCTGCGTCGACATGTGCTCCCCCAAGGAACGAGACGAGCAAATTCGATGCGATGACCTGAGTACCTTTGAGAAGGGAAACCCTCCCGAAGCATTTATCATCAAACGGTACCAGCGGTCCGCCGCCGACCACAAACTAGACATTCCGTCCGAGATTCGACCTCTCGGGTAAGTACCCCCTCCCTCCATGTGGGTGCGTGGGTGGATGTGGTTTCGAACATATCGTACTATTTTTTAAATATCTTATATATATAAAATATTTACATATATATATATATATATATGTATGTGTGTAGAGTACTCCGAATGACACAGTTGTATTTGGAACAACATGTGATCGACTTGGACGAATGCGGCCCCGACCCTCGTTTCAACCCGCCGCGAGTCCCCGACTTTCTCGACGTACGTAGACTTGTATATATATAAATATATATATTTCTATATTTGTAGCTGTACAACTTTTTCTGGAACCGCGCCCGCATGATCCGCAATGACTTTACACTGCAAAATTACCGCGGCGGCGGGCGCCACCACGTGATCGCCATGGACGTCCACGAGCGCATCGCACGCTTCTTCATCTTATGCGAACACGAATTGATTGAAAATCCAAAGTTCATCGAACAGCAAAACATGGAGCAGCTCGGCAAGGTACCTATTATATATATATATATTTGAAACGTTCAAGATATATATATATATATATATATGATTGCAACGACCAAGCGTTTGATATGTGATTGCCCATGGTTGGAAAAGGTCCAAATTGCCATAATATTTTTAGGAGTCTTGACATTACTGTACACGTGTACCACTTTCGGCTGATATTTTGCCATACTATCAAACCACCTCGTGCCCATTTATATATATATATAATAATCTGTATGTATAGCACTAACCTGTATATATATATATCGTTGTACACTGTACCTACATCCAAATATATATATATCACTCTAAACTGTATCTATCGATGTATATATATATTTACATATAGTCGGCTCTAAACTATATCTACTACATAGGATCTATGTATCCGTATCTCTATCGCTCTCCACTGTTTCCCTCTCTCATATACATTCGTTGGCGCTAACCAGTATATATATATAGACAATGAAAAGTCTGCAAGATTTCTACGACGACGCGCGTCTTCACGGCGCCGAGTCGAGTCCATTCGAAGCCGAATTCGCGGGGTATTTCATCTTGCTTCACCTGGATAAGGCGTCGGCGGTGCTTAAATTCACCAAGCGGCTGCCTCGATCGCTCCTCCACTCGACTTTTGTGCAGTTTGCCATGGCAGCGTTTGTGGCCCGGCACACGAATGATTACGTGGCGTTCTTCCGCCTCGTCCGGCAAGCCAGTCTTCTCCAGGCGTGTCTTCTGCATCGGTACTTCCCGTTGGCGCGGTCCGATGCGCTGGGATGTATGGCGCGGGTGTATCGGCATCCGTACCCGCTGGAACCGCTCGTCCGTCTGCTGTGTTTTGACTCGCTTCAACATGCGGCGACGGTGGTCGGCCTCCACGGTCTGGCTCTGTCGGCGGACGGGGCGTCGGTGGTATTTGGAACGGCCGACTTTGTCGCAGACAAGGTACCTGTCACGTGCTCGGACGTATACGTCCGTTCCAAACAAGGCGACTGGCGCCGGCGGGATGTGTGCCGAGGGGTGACCGAGTACGATCCGGACAAGTACCCGCTGCTCCCCCGGCAGATTCAAGAGACTGAAATGGACGAACGGCGGCGGCTGTACCCGACAAGACCTCTGTATCACGACCCGTTTTCAAAGTTTACCCTCGAAGATGCTCAACCAAACTCGGATAACCACCAGCTACGTCGAGTCGGCACATCGTCGGCGTCGTTGGAAGCACCGCCGCCGCCGCCTGTTTTAGCCGAACCTCTGTCCTCCGCGCCGCCCCTGCCGCCTCCTCGTCCATTGACGACTGTGTTTGGCAGCAAAAAGCCACCAGTGGTGGACGAGATGGGAGTGATTCCTGGGCTAAGCAAATTGACTGAAATCGAACAGCGCCAGAAAAGATTGCAACAGGATAAGCAGCGATTGCTAGACGAAATTGCCAAGCGCCAACACAAGAGTACCCACGTTGCCGCTTCTAGTACCATTGGATCTGTGACTACTACTAGTACTACTAGTAGTAGGACAGCTACGACGATGCCTAGTGCAGTTCCGAGGAACGAGCCAATTCCTGCGAGTACAACCCCGGTCGTCCAGGAAGACGCCACGTCATCGAACGCCACCCACAACGAAGTTGAACCAGCCAAGTCACTTAGCACTGGAACCATATCGACCAAGTCATCAGACAAAGCAGATGACGATGTCGCCGCCAAACAAAACGAGGCCGACGCGGCGGCGATCGCGGCGGCAACTCGAAAAGCTCTAGAAGCAGCAGCAGCTAAGGAAGCCAAAGAAGCCGCAGCCAAGGAAGCAGCAGCCAAAGCAGCCAAAGAAGCAGCAGATAAAGAAGCAGCAGCTGAAAAGCAGCGAGTGGAGTTGGAGCGCAAGGAAGCTGCGAAACGTGAAAGTGAACGACATGAAGCGTTGAAAGCAAAGTACGAAATCCAAGCGTTGGGCCAGACGTGGCTGAGAATCAATTTCGACAGCCACGACGCCGTGGTCACGAGATCCAATGCTATTCTAAAGCAAGAGCATGACGAAGTGGCGCGCGCGCAGCGGCTGGCCGTGCAAAAGCTGCGCTTTGCCCTGTGGCGGAAGATGGTCTCGCGCCAGCAACGTCCGCGGTATACATACACCCTAGCACTGTTGTTGTATATGATATTCGTTGTTATGTGATGGCTGGTTTGTTGGTGCTATTTGGGGGTTTAGAATGCCCCTTATCTTTTTTGTTTTTTTCTCAAAAAAATATTGCGCTTTTCAGTGAAATGTGCCAATTTTGGTGGGATGGATGAAATCACCAACTAATCGAGCAAACGAGTATGATTGGCTACAAAGAATCAAGGTTGCAATTGGATTGGCTAAAAAGATGGATTGTAGAATTGCAGTCACAAAGATACCTCTTCAACTTTTTTTATATGAAGTTTCGAAGGTCCGGCGAGTGTTTGGCGGTTCATTCAACCAATCGCCAACGGAGGAAATGTTGAATAGAACAAATCACAATAATATATATATATATATATTGAGAATACTCACGAAAAGTGGATCTGTATTCGTTTGTAGGGTCCCTGGGAATGCTAAGTTTGAACCATCGACTTGTGGCCCACAGGCTACTGCATCGTCGGTGGTCCAATTTCAAGGCCCAATCGAGTCGTTGCTAAGCAACTACTACCCGAAGGCCACCCCCCCCACTGCATGGACATCCACGGACAAAGCCATCACGGACGCCAGTCATGCCGCCATGCTCGCGCTGCAACACCAGCTCCATAAGCCCGTGGACGTTGCGGGGCTGCTGGCGCCGCGGCTGAAGCGGCGGTACCCCCGGGCATCCTCTTTGGCGTACTCGATTGCCATCTGCCGCCTCCCCACCGACGACGACGAGGACGACAAGGAATCTAGTAGTACTAGTTCGACTAGTACTTTTGACGCGGCGGCGTGGCTGGCGGCCAAATGTGGCGTGTCGTCGGGTGGGCACCGGGTGTACACCCACGAGTCGTTTGTCCTGCACCTATCGTCCAGTGTCGCACCGCGTTCAGGTCCAAATACGGCCGTGTGGTTTCCCGTAGCGTTTGCTTGTCTCGACCAAGTGGGGCCGTGGGTTCGTCGCTTAGTGAATTCAAGTGTATTACGTGGCGCGCCCACAGCCGTCCACGTGGTGGCCTTGACAGCGTTGCATCCCCACGAGGTTGAAGCCACTGGCCAAATCGAATTGGATCGGCTGGCGTCTAATTGGCATCTCCACTGGCACGTTGGGCCATGGGATGCCGCCCATGCTGTCGTGACGTCGCTTGTCAAGAGTATGGGGGACACTGTCACACTGATTCCAGTCGTGCCCTTCACTAACGTACCCCTTCGAGACACGATCGACGACGTGGTTGCGCTCACATTGCATCAGACGAGTCTGCTCAGTCGGCCGCACATCTCGGACCTGGTGCGGCATGTCCACCACGCCCTCTCCGTCCTCCAGCACCTCTTCGACGCCTCGGATTCTTCTTCTTCCGACCTCATGGGACAAGTGCTCGCGGCGGTGCCGCCGTCGGGGACGTCTGGCAGCACCCACGGGTGGATTCACTCGCTGCCGACACTTTCCTCGACGCAACGGGAGCTCGCCGTGCACCTCGTCGAGGCCGCGTGGCAAATCCCGCATGACCAAGACGAGGATGCCAGTCCTGCCAAGTCGATCGTGTCGATTGTGTATGCTATCGTGTTGAACGGCATTGAAGGACTAGACACGGCCGTGGTCGCGCTACCCACTTCGTGGGTGGTCGAGTGCCGCCAGCTGATGCACCTCGTGCGCACTGTCTCGTCCATCGACAAGCACGCCCGAGTTCTCGGGAAGAAGAGACCTCCAGAAGACGAGAACGTTTCGACCGGGGCGTTGGTGTCCATGATGAAGAAGCGATCGACGACTTTGACCACCGCCATGACGATCACACCCACGACTCGCCATGCCCTCCAAGCGAAATGGAAGCGAGACGCCGCCCGCATGCGCGCGATGCGTGCATTGGATCACGAGAAGGCGGCACATGCCTCGTTCCGCCGCATGCTTGAATCTGCTTTCGAAACGTAACCGTAATAATTCAAACGTATTGTCCGGATAACAAAAGCACATTGTTTTTAACGAATCAGAGGCCATGAATGGCTTTCTTGCATGTGATTGGTCAATGAATTTGACCGCATCAAGTCGACGCATTTGCACATCCGCCGCACAAGCAACATGCATCGATTGCAGCAGAAGGTATTGGGAAAGGTGAAGCTTCTGGGCCTAAAGGACAGTCTTCCTGCGACTGTCGGCAAGGCGGCGCAAGTGATCTTTGTGCATAAGCCTTCGAACGAGGAAGCGCTCAAGGCGGCGCTCCCTTTCCCCGTCTCGAACGAAGTCCTCTCCGACTTCAAGGGCAATGCCAAGGAAACGCTGTTGCTGTACCCCAAGGATGGTCAGCGCACGCTTCTTGTGGGACTTGGGGATGCCATTGACGAAGTGTCGTTGCGGGATGCGACCCATGAAGCCCTCGCGAACTTGAAAAGTCGCGGCGTTCGCCACGCGTTTCTCCGCGCACCCACCGTCGATAGTCTGTCCGCTCAACGTGTCGCCGAGCTTGTGGCGCAGGTATCCTCCTTCCATTTCCGCGATCTCTCACCGCTACCATGCTCGATAGACTTCTGTGCTGTCCAACTACGAGTTCAACCGCCACTTGTCCGCGCCAGAAGACACCTCGGTCGAGGAAAAGTTGCCGCTCACCGATATCTTCGTGCAGGCGTCTACATCGTCGTTGGACGAGGTGCGTCTATTGTCCTTCTCCACTTATATGTGCATTAGGATGCCAGCAGCGTCGCCGAGAAGCTCTCGGTCGCCGAAGAAACGCTCTTCGCGCGCAATTTGGGTCTGTCCTTTCTCTTTTTTCTTCTTCTATTTTGAAGTGTTCTATATTTGTTTACATGTTATATGGACAGGGAATGAGCGGTCGGACGTGGTGGACCCAGCGTTTGTCGAACAAGTGGCGGTCGCGAGCGCCGCGGATCTGCCCAATCTGCATGTGACCGTGCTGCAAGACGCCGACTTGCGATCGAAAGGCCTCAACATGATGGCGCTAGTGGGCCAAGCGGGCGTGTGTCCGCCGCGGCTGGTCATTTTGGAGTACCGCGGCAACCCGTCCGCCCCCGACGACCGCATCGCACTGGTCGGCAAGGTCTGTCCAACTGCATCGACTCCCATTGGTCAATTTGAAAGCGTTTCTTGTCGCTGATTGGCTACACCGTTTGTGGGTCGAATCTTGTGCTTTGCACCCAAATTTGGACTTTCCTATTGAAGCTTGTTCAAACTATCCTATACAATGTGTAGCATACATATGAACTGAATCAGTACTTTCGATTGGCAGAAATTCGACCAAACGTGATTTGATTGGCTTAGACGGTTCATGAATTCATAATTCAATTGTGCTAGTGGCTCCAGTTTCGAATCGATTTGACAATATATATATATATATTTATGTGGGTGGTTTGCTAGGGCATTACGTTTGACACGGGAGGACTCAACCTGAAACCGACGGGGTCCATGGAAGACATGCATATGGATATGTGCGGTTCCGCCGCCGTCCTCGGCGCCATCCGCGCCGCGTCCAAGGTAATATACCTACGACAGTTCTCTGGATGTAGTCAAATATCTCAATTGATTTCTTCATAAAATATGACCAAATGTGTATGTATGATGGTTTGATGTAGAATGGACTGCGTGTAAACGTCGTGGCCGCGTTGGCGTTGGCCGAGAATGCGATCGGGTCCAAGGCCGCCAAGCCCCACACCATCGTCAAGTCTCTCAAGGTACACACAACAGAATGATGTTTATGTCACTTGCCCACACCTTGGAATATCTCCGTGGGGGATGATCATGTATATATATATATATATATATATATAGTATTGATTTGGTATGCAATTCCGGACCCCGTTCAATCGAATTACGCAGACCAAACGATCACGAATCGCTCCCATTGGTCACTCTAAAATGACTGTTCATTGATTGGCTACATTACTTTATCTGCGGAATCGGCAAAGCCAATGAAATTTCGTGACGACGTTTGCGATCGGTTTTACGAATCGCGCAGAATTGGGAAAAATTTGCAACAAATATATAATATATTATTCGGAATGATTGTTGGTTTTAGGGACTGAGCGTGGAAGTAAACAATACGGACGCGGAGGGCCGGCTGGTGCTGGCGGATACGCTGACGTATGTGCAGCAGCAGTACAAGCCCCACACGGTCATCGACGTGGCCACGCTGACTGGGGCTTGCGTCGGTACGAAAGAAATCATATTATAAATATTTGTCTTTTGCATATATATGAAAGAATAAAATAATACACTCACGACACGGACTGACAAATCGTTTTAGTCGCGCTGGGGGAATACAGCGCCGGGTTGTTTAGTAATGCCGACGATTTGGCCCACGACTTGCTGGTACGACCTCGGATGATGATAAACTGAGATTTATAGCGATATCAACAAATATTTTAAGTATATAGATAGACATTCACGATGTGTCATCGTGCGTAGGAAGCCGGCAGTGTGACCCACGAGCGGTGCTGGCGCTTGCCCATCTTTGCTGAACATTCGGCCGAACTCAAGGGCCACCAGTCCGATTCGCGCAGCACGGGCACGGTACTAACTACTCGAACTTGTTCATCCGGATAATCGGACTTGTGTTCAGGGCCGATACGGCGGCGCGAGCACGGCGGCGGCGTTTTTGAAGCAGTTTATCGACAAGGACGTCAAGTGGGCACACTTGGACATTGCCGGTATTTCTCGCTCATCTTGACGAAAATGACATGGGATGATGATGTAGGGCCGGCCATGTACTCTGCGGCGCGGTCGTACTTTCCCAAGGGGGCGACGGGGTTTGGCGTCCAAGTATTGTTTGAATACCTCAAGAAAGCGCAACAAAAGCACGTGTAAATAATACACACCGACGGCCGAATATATGGGGAAAACGCTACAACATGGAAGGACTTGAGCATTTCTTTGAGACTGGTGGCTTGGACTTTTGATTATGTTCTTGTTATGTGTTTATTCTATGCAACAGGGGCGACATGGAGAATGAATCGACACTACTAACTGTAAATATGGAGAAGCATCGGCAGAAGAATTGAGCGAATCCGATTGCAGGAGATTATCATCATCTCCAAATTAGTGTATGACATCAATTAGTGTGATACCAATCACTGCATACAAAAGTCCATATAAAAGAACAATAAATAGTAGCGTTAGTATTGTGGATTCGGTATAAATGTTCATCGAATCGAATCTCGCCGCCGAATCGACTCACCTATTGACTAATCCAATTTTTGAGTAGATTTGATTGGCTCTTACAGTAAATTCGACCAATCAGAACTCCAGCATTGTTTCAACATATTGATTAGTCAAACCACCCATAGTTTGGAAGTTTCTAGCGAATTCACAATAACGTTACTTGCAGACTAATATATATATATATCTCCTCAACGTCACCAGGTTGGAACCGTTCAATTGTACAGTGTCGCACACAAATACTTCGAAGTAACTCAATATGGAACGACTAGTAGAGACTTGAGCGTTTTGTGTGGATAACTTGACATTAAAATAATAGGATAGTGGCGGTGGGGGTGGTGTATATCTCTCATAGAAACATGGACGCGGCCTCGTACAAGACCCCGTACTCTTCGGGTGGCGGGAGATGCGCCAGTGACGAAGATGATGACGACGAATATTTTGCTGCTTGGTGGCGTTGTATGTGATGATGTTGCGGATCACGTCGAGGCTGTTCCTGCGACGATGTGTGTCGGTGGTTCCTCGGATCCGCGGAATCAAAGGATGCATGAGACTTCTGGGCAGGTGCAGACGACGAAGGTGACGATGCTGGCAGACGACGGCGGTGAAGTGGAGGTTGGTTGTGCTCCTGGTGCAAAGGTCGATGCGAATACGAGTGTGGGAGGTCGTGCTGCCACGAGGGTCTACATGGAGGTTGTGACGCCGTGGTGGATGGGGTGGTGGTCTCTATTCGGCTTGCATGTGGCAGAGCTGAGCTGTACGAAGGGAGAGATGAAAACGGAGAAAAGCACAAGTTCGACGGTGGGGACACCGGCATCGGGGGAAGCGGTGGCAGTGTCGACGTGTGACGCGATGGCTGCTCGTTACTGTACGACATGCATGGCGGGGTGTCTGGGATCGCGATGAATCGTTGCAAGGGTTTGGACGAAGGAGAAGGGACTTGGATGCGTAATGGGATGGCCTCTGGCAGGATCGAAGAAGACTCATGGGAAGGTGTGTCGGGGTCCATCAAGCACATGAGGGTGTCCAAGTCTTGTGAGTTCAAATGGAGCATGGGGTCGAGGGAGAATGGTGGCTCGTCGCCTCTCAAGCCACCCCCTTCGCCGTTGAGGAACTTGTCCATGGAGTCTTCGTCGCCCGAGCCTCCGTTGCCACCGTTCGCGCCGTCGTCGTCGTGACCGTAATGTCGCGTGATCTTCGCCAACAGGTCTTTTCGATTCTGTCGAAAGCACGGATGTGTGAACGTGTACATGTGGGATCGGAACTTGGTGTTCTTCTTGAACCCAAAGTAGTTGAGTTGTCGCTGGAAGCTCGTAAACTTGCTGTGTTTGAAGTACTTTGGGAGGATGCGGTTCTCGAGAGTGTGCCGGTCAAGCACTTGCACGGACGACCCGTCCAGCGTCCAAGAGATGATCTGCGTGTCCTCCGTCTCCAGCATCTCAAACAGTGACCTGAGGAACTTGGGCACACCGACATCGCGCTTCTTCGACCGAGGTCCTGCTCCTGTCGGTGGACTTATCATGGTTTCCGCAAAATCGAGACTGAGGGAGCATCGCGGCTCTGACTCTGACCATCTGGAAGGAGCAGTGATGTGAATCACCTTACAAACACGAAGTCAAACCATGTCTTCCGTCCTTCTTTTCAGTGGATTTCATTGGCCCAACTTTAGCCAGTCCAACGCACATGCATGGCAGTACAGTCTCGCGCGACATGTTCAAGCCTTCAGCAGAAGGCCTTACCACCGCTGCCGCCAATCTTCATCAAGTGTAGTACCCCTCACTTGTGACAAGGATGCAGCAGTGTGATAATGGAGTTCAGCTGAATGCGCCTCGATTGTTATACTTATAGCCTGACTTGCAATGCTCGGGCCACCCCATGACACATCACAGGCTGGACAAAGCTAAGTTTCGACCCAACGATGGATTGTTCCCGAGAGAGGCCTCAGAATGCAGCAGTTTCAAGCAAACAGGCGGGATTTGGTGTGCTTTATGCAACACCCTCGGAAAGTCTGCCAACGACGCTCGAAAATGCTCGATTTGTTGCTTGAAAATATTGTGCACCCAGTTGAAATGAACAAAGCGACCAGCTGGTGGAGTCGCGCATGATCCTTCGTCGCAAGTAACTAGTACATACACCTAGCGGAGCTGCCTCTGGAAGTCCGTGGCACATCGCGGCTGCAGCACGACAGCCCAACCAAGTGACGGTGCTACATGTATGTACTAATTCCTTCAGCACAATTTAAAGGCGGGCGTGTCGAATCAGCCGAAAACTATGTATGTACATCGTTTGTCCGGGCGATATACAAATCCCAAGTGCATGGGGTGGTTGAGCGATTCGTGACACATGGCTGTTCGTTCCTTGAACTGCACGTACGTAAGTAACACTGGTCATTTGACTTGATTTGAGTATGCCGTGTCTTTTTTCGAGGGTCGGGGCTACTTTTCAATATCATGACAGGGTGCCCCACCAAGGTCTTGGCAAGGTGTACTAAGTATCACATGACAGACCAAGATGCCCTCCATGCATGCTCTTTGGCCCCGACTGCATGCTGCCGTTCTGTGTTGGTCGCGAAGTTGCTCCACTTGCACCCACCACCTACAACGTTGTTTTACAGACGTGTACGAAATCGGCCTCAACGCTAGCTACTGTATGTAGCCAAAAATACTACTACAGTACTAGTATTGGTAACTTCCTAGTATTGGTAACTTCCATTACTGTACTGTAGCACTACCGTGCTGTAGTAGGGCTCGAAACGCAGCTCCTCCTTGTTAGATTTCCGCATCGATAGCATTCTTCCTCCTTCGTTGAATGATCCATCAGTCAGTGATCTTGGAGTGAGCTGTCTGTCCCCCGAGGCAGATGCCACTGACAACCTTGGACCATGAAGACAGATCTGTTCAAGTCCATACAACTCGACCTCTACTGTGAACGTCCGCATACATACTCATACAGTCAATAACGTGCGATCAAACAGTGTATATTCGCCAAAGCCTGCAGTTGGCAAGCTCCCAATTTGTCAATCATGAATTTTCTAAAGACACCAATGGCTAGGGTACTCGCGCGTCGTCGCACATGATCTGCCAGGAGACGGACGACATCCACCAAGTACGAATTGAACTTGTGTAGGTTGGGGTGGTACTGTAGTGGTGTGGTATCTCACCCTAACAGTAAGTTACTACAGTAGTACTGCACATCAAAATATTTACTGTTAGTGCATGTATTTTTTATAATACTACGTACTATTAATACTACTAGTATTAATAGTACTGTATATCCTTGTACTGAAGTATACTGCGCTTACAGTTAGACGTATTCCGCGACCAGCCCCTTAGGGGCTGGTCGGGGAAGATTAAGTTTAGTACATGGAAAAGTAGAAATAGTAGTACGCAGTACTTCTGTACTACGAAGTACTAGTATTCGTACTACGTACTATAAATATTACTAGTAGTATTAATACGTACTACTACGGTAGTATTAGTAGTACCTCGTAGTACGTATTAATAATATCTGTAAATTAAGTCTCAACGATCCGCTTCGAAAGAGATAACGACCGAAATTATCGAAGTTGGATGGAACTCACATACTGCAGTAGTACTTCGTAAAACTGTAAGACTTCTTATTTGTTTGGATATTTAAAAGCAGCGATCTTATCAGACGTCTGGGACTTAACCTAATTAGGACAATGCTTGGTCACTGTATTCAGGCCTCGTCTGGGAGCGGCACGGCCTTACGGCCTGCCTACCTGCAGCTGCCCGACAAGAGAATAGGTAAATCATTCGGTGAAGTGAGAGGCTTTGATCCGCGCTCTCGTACGGTCGCACGGCCTCCCGGGCGCTCGGGGCGAACTGTAAGGCTTTTCATCCCTCAACTCATCCAGGATTAGTGGATGACATGTCACCCAAGTGATCACTCCATTATTACTGTATTGCTACTACAGTAAGTTACAAACGTTATTACTATACCGGTACGTGTAATATTAGTACTTCGTTCATACAAGCCTTCATTTAAATCCAATAATTATATTATCTTACATTAATCACACTGGTAGATAGATAGATATATTGATAGAATTATCACTTCATCCGAATGTGACTTTCAACCGTGACGACATAATTTTACACTAACTTCACCCGATAAAAGTTGTGGATGATTTTGTTGGATAATTTGTATGAGAGTTTGTATTGTTTTGGTCGAAACTAAACATATGACTTGCGTATTTTTATTCAAAACGACAATAACACGACGAATGGGGACATGATATCATGCACCCCATAATCGACTCATAATTCAACTAACTATTTCTAAAAGCCGGCAAGCTAATTACCTACAACGTCGACACTGCAGTACCTTGAAGTAGCTCTCAATAAGGTTTCCACGCGGTGTTCGTAACTTAGTCGGCTTGGTCGGCCTTAGTGTCATACGCGCGTTTCCATATCTTCGACAAAGCCTGCAGGGTCACTTGGAACTTCAAGCATAGTGCCTTGAGTTTGCCTACTTTGAAACGCGAATGTCGGGTGTACGTACACCTCAATACGCTGCGCATCCGAAAGTCGTTTCTGGGTCTTGCGAGGTTCCATGTGGAAAAACTTGCTTAACGTTAGTGCAAAAACCAAAAGGTTTGAATGATGCTTGGCATATCTACGATATTCTAAGCTAACGATTGCCACAAATATCAGGAGGCTGCAGGAAATCGGGAAAGGTAAAATTGCAGTGAGAAAAACTGACAGTACATTCTGAATTTTGACTGCGACTAGAAATCTGACAAGGCTGAATTTAAAAGGAATATATAATATTGTAATTAGGCAGATTACATTTGTAACCAAATTTTAATAAATGTAAGCAGCAAAAATCTGAACTTTGACCTCGAAGAACTCTACTTCAACTTTGACGAATTGCTTCCAAACTATTTGTCCATAGGAATCACTCCAAGTTTTCAACAGCTATGTGTTCAGATTCGCATATTTCGCCTTGGTGAACACGAAATCGTACGTCAAACATCGAAGTTTCATAGGTTTTGTCGATATCCAACCTAAAGTTAACGAAAACCTATGTAAGATGCTTTCAACCTCATAATGTTTAGGCTCAAGTAAGAGAACGTAATGCGTAGATTATGTTCCTGGATTATTGAAAGTGACACGTTTAATTAACTGTAAAGTCTCAAATGATCACCAAACGTTCATTGATCGAGTTACTTCAGATTACTTGTACTTGCTGATTACAAAATGTAAGGTAACGCATCAATCATCCGAACGGTTTTAGAAGCAGACATTGTCGAATTTTTAAAGTCTGAGTGCTTGCCATTTAATTCTATTGAGCTTTTTACAATGTTAACAAATGTAAACTGCCACTTTAATTTTATACTCATTTACTTGTCAAATTTCATAAAGCAATATATTATGGAGTTTTTACCAATTCAACTCTTCCTTCTCGATTTCTCGTATCTTTCAGCTAAATCGGATCAAAATTGAGTGAATAACGTGACTGACCATTGATGGGCGGATCAAAAATTCAGTCCATTTTCATTGGCTAAAATCCAACCACTATAGAACATATACCTGTATGAATACTAACTACTACGTAGTATTAGAGTACGACATTAAATGTACTATAATAGTATCTCAATAATATTAGAGGCCTTTAGCAAACCTGGAATTTGATCAAATTCCCGAAATTAACTACGTTCGAATTCACTTCGGGAATTTGATTCGGATATTTGAAGCAATCACGGAATTTGCAATTTCGATGCCAAAACCATTACTAACAAATTAAACCCCGTTCATTGGCTTAGTAAGCGTTGACGATTAACCCATCAACCAGTCGTAAAGATGCGTCCGCGTGCCGCTCTCCTTGCTAGACGGCCCCTGCTACTCAACCGATTGCGTTCCATCTTGAAACGTCGTGCTGCAGTCACATATTGGGTACTTGGTCACTAAGACCACTTGCAACCAACTTCCATCGCTGCAGCAGTTCGCCGTGGTCTACTGCGAATGGTTCGATTCGTGTCACCTCACGCAGGAGAGCAACCTCCAGGTCTTCCGTCCATGCAACGTACTTGGCTGGTGGTCAAGGTAATGTGTCAACCATTGGAGTGAATTAATGTATGAACCACCAATTAATACGTCCAGCAAGCACAATCCACCACCCATTGCATTTTGAGTATTTTGATTGGCTTATACATTTCGGTAATTTGAAGTTCAAATATACGGAATGGTCATGCGATTTCGTATATTTGAGCCAAATTCCGACCCGAATTTGGCCTTCACGAAGTTCGTAGCTGTGAGTAACCCGAAGTTTGATTTCGGGAATTTCACATTACGGGTATTACGGGTTTGCTAAAGGTCTCTATTGGTGTGTAAAATTTCTACTATACATGATATCTGTACAAATTCAATAAACCTCTATATCATGGTAATTGTACGTGGTTGAAATCTAGGTTTGCAATACTTAACTCAAGTATAAAAGTCGGCCGTCAATGGTCACCTGTGTAAAGCGTCAACTTCAAAAATATATTGTGCAATGATAAACCGTTTAAATCGATACTTTTTGGGTTTATTTGAAATAGCGAATCGTTAAATACACTATTTTTCAATGTACAAAACGAAAAAGCGACCGAAATATTCGAAACTCACAGTGAACTCAAGCAAAACTCGGCCCATCAATGGTCGGTCACGCTAGCGTAAGTTTGAAATTTGCAATGCTGGTCGTGGAATTTCAAATTTGGATAGCTCAGCAACTACGTCCGATAAAGAAGTTCCCGAAATAGCAACATATTCCATTGTGTACGGTACACGTCACCTAGAAACTTCCAACATTCACAAAGCCGTCTGGTTGATATATCATTTTCATTTCACACAATTAAAGTAAAACGAGATGTAGTTTCGACAGATCTCGTCGAGGTGACGAGATGTTACGTCAAAAATCAAATATGGTGAAAATTGTCGAGTACTCCGGAGTAATAGACTTTACAATTACCCGTACTGTAGTTGATTTGTTAAGTGGGAACTTCTGCGACATGTCAATCGATGGATTCAACAAATTACCTCTTTTTTTATATTTAAAATAAATGGCAAATATAGTATTACAAAGGTAATGCAATTTAGAAGTCAAAGGTAATGCAATTTCCAATTCAAATGTTTCAAAAACTTTCAGAGGTCATTTCGTCAGCTAGTTACCGAGTAATTCCCTGATATAAACGGTAGTGTTACTCTTTCAAATAAACCAGTACTTTGTGTTTACATACGAAGCACAATGTTAACGTTATTCCCGGGTTAACCTCTCGGGCGGTTAAGTTACATCTCAGTGATGAGCAATCTTATTCACTAGATGTACTTACAGTTAACCCCGATTACTAAGTATTGTTTTGTGCCCATACTCATTTGGCTATGGTGTAAAACGAACTAGGCTGTAAAAATGGACATCATGGTATGAGGGAATTATTCTTTGATCAAACAAGTTATGCCATACATAATATTTATTAAGTATAACAGGTAATTCAAGTCCCTCGGGCACCTGCACATTCCGATAATCAGAAATATTTGATTATGGAGGAACTAATAGTTCCCACCTGACAAATCAACTACGTAAACCGAATGGTATTTTGTATAGGCCAATATAGGGCCAGTAGATTTTGACTACGAAGGCTACCTTGATGTTACTCCGTACGAACCGCTCAAATAGTCGCAACTTCATAACTTTTCAGTGTAATCTACTGCGTTAAGGCCTATTATGTTGTCAGAAAATTGCCATTTTGCCAAGAAGGAGCTTGAGGGTGAGTTTGGATGTCATGCCAAAATCTTCGATATTTCGGCAATAACAAAAAAAATCTGTCTGGTTTTAAAAATTTGGAGAATTCAATTTATTGCCAAATATCACGTTTTATTGCCGAAAAATAGAAAAAGTTGTTCAAGGTATTTATTCTCTCTGAAAGTTGGCAATAACTGAGTTTTTTTTCGAAATCAGTTTGATCCAGACAGTCAAAAATAGGTGACAACCACGATCTTCGAAGTACTTTGAGGGTGGGTCTGGATCATACCCCAACTTTTGCCCAAGTAATATGTCGAAAATTTGGTTCAAAGTAATTGGAAGAATTTGGCTATAACCAACGTACTACTACTACGTACAGTCCAAAACAAAATTATAGACGCACCCCAAAATTCTCGAGTTTACAATGAAAACAATGGTTTGGTCAGCAACGATCAATCACAAAGGCATTCAAACACTGCTTCCAGGCATCCCATAGAATAACTTAAGTCATGCATTAGTAAGTCCACAGAAAAATCCAATTTTCAAAATTTGGGGTGAAACAAAATTATAGACGCACTTTTGATTCGACTAAAACTAAAAGCGCTTTTTAAAGTAAACCAAATGCTTACAAGCGTTTGCTTGTCACATACTACTCTGTGCTTTTTTATAGTGTACATTTGAGGAAATTTGGCCTATCACGGCGACCCCTGGGCCAATTTGTGAATTTCAATTGGCTGCCGAAAGCTGGCGTTCGTCGTTCGTTCTGATCCTCCTGTTATTTTAATAAAGCAATTCGATCATTTTCAGCATGCCACGCGTTGCTGACCAAACCATTGTTTTCATTGTAAACTCGAGAATTTTGGGTGCCTCTATAATTTAATTTCGGACTGTACCAGAAGTATTTTTAACTGTCTGGATCAAACTTATTTCGAAAGAAAATCTATGAATCTCAGTTATTGCCAACTTTCAGAAAAATAAGTCCCTTGAACCTCTTTTATATTTTTGCGAAAATCGAGATACTTGGCAAAATATTGAATTGTCTAAATTTTGGGATCCAGAGAATTTTTCATTTTGCCGATTTCTTAGGAATTGCCAATATATCCAAAGATTTTGCCCTTTTTCTACATCCAGACTCACCCTAAGGTATTAATAATTCGTGTCTATTTTTCTCCTCAAGTAAGAGTGATAAAATCCAAAAAAGGTGTATCGATAAAGTCTCGTTTACTTGGTGCCTGACCTCGTAAAGCATTTGAGTAGGTACCGACCGATCCATCCCTATCTTTCATACAACGTCGGTATGGATCCCAATCCAACGTCACCGGCAGTCCCTAGCCGACCTTTAACGCACTAGTACATCTACAAACTCATTCGAGAGCACGTGGTTCGGATCCCATTCATCTCGGAGGGTCTTGAATGCTTTCCACGCCGGAAATCTCGCAGAGAGGCGCGTACGGAGGGCTTCGATCTCCTCCTTCGACTTGGACTGGACCTCCAACTTGGCCCAATGCTCCGTCGCCCCATATGGAGCCATCACGTCTTCCAACAGTTTCGAGTACTCGGCAAAGTACGCTTGGGTAGCCGCGCGGGTGTCGTCTGCGTCTTGGAGGTACAGGATGATGCCGACCCACGAAAACAAGGTCGCGTCTTCGGCACTGTGCGCGGGACTGAGGGCGGCGCGGCTGCGCGCCGTCCATCGCTGCTCGATGGGGGTGTGCGCCGGGACGTGGTCGGCTTGGATCCGCGCGAGTAGCGCTTCCATAAAGTCCAGGTCCGTGGACGACCCATTCGACATGGGGAACGCCACTTCCGACACCAATTGTTGTCCGCCGCAGTCAAATCCAACCACGTCGTCGGAAAGGGCGACGCGGGTGCCTTGACTGCGCCGCCAATACTCGACTTCGACCTGCGTGATGCGCGCAATGTGCGCGGGATTGAGCGGGTCCAACGCGTACAAGGCATCGCGGAGTTGGGTGAACCGCCACGACGAAGGCGGCGATGTGCGGGCGAGGTCGGCGTAGAGGAGTCGGAGCGGGCGCAGGCGATGGTCGACGTCCGACGACACTTCCGTGTGGTCGGCGGGGAGATCGGGGGAAGTGGATGGATTCGAGGTCACTACCACAACAGAGGACGTGTATGGAAGCCACATGTACCGAACGTGTTGGTTGGACTTCAAAAGGGAAGTATGCACTTGGCGGAGTTGAGAGATGGACATGACTTGTGTGTTTTCCACCAGGTAATGCCGACGCACGCATTGCAACGTGAGCTGTGTGACCACGCCCAGCGCACCAAGACCGCATTTCGCCAGCTGGAAGCGCGGGTCCGACGGGTCGTTGAGTGTAAGTCGGCCGTTTGCAGGCGTCACGATGTCCATTGAAACGATTTGCTCTTCCATGGGAGGAATTGACGCGCCCGTGCCGTGGCATCCCGCTTGAGTGACGCCTGCGATGGTCTGTTCGCGGATGGAAGCGACGTTTTGCAGCGTGAGGCCATGGGTCCTGTAATGAACATGAGTCGGACGAAACATTGGAGGAGGACTTGTGGAGAGAATCATACCGGAGACGAGCGAGCAGGTCACCGACGATGACACCTCCTTCCACCGTGACTTGTTGCAGTTCCTCGTCGACGTGAAGGATGTTATCCAACCGACTGAGGACCAAGATCGATTCGTCTGAGAACCCTAGCCCGTTCGGACTCACACCGGACCCCATGGGTCGAAGTTTGGTCTTTTGCAGGTGGTGGAACGCAACTAGACGTGCTGATGGTCAACACCATGGACGCTGTCGACGAGTTGATTCTGGAGCACATACCGATGGACTCAACTTCAGCCACAGATTCTGGCTCGTACACGCGGACAGGATGGCAGTCATGAGTGGCCGACCAGTTCACATACGCCGATGTGGAATCGTTGGAGGTGTCGTCCTTCTTACCATCAGCCAACGCCACACCCGTCGCGGCCGCGGCGAGTGCGGCAAGGACAGGCACAAGACTTGCTTGAGGGAGCGTACGAGATGAAGATTCCGCGGCATGATGCATCAAGCGTCGGAACGGAACGGTCGCTGCCGCGGCGGTAGATGTGCGGCGCAGGAAAGGACGAAGCAATCGCACGCGTTGTTGCATCTTCGGTGAACGTCGGAAACTGTCTTAGACAGCCTTCAAAGTACACAATGATTGAGCCTTTGTATGGTATACAAACAGTGCATGTAATACCAATCCGGATACTTATCCGAAAGTATCGACATTTGCGGCCAAAAAAGATCGCGCCTTTTGGTGTCATGAGCAGTGCCGCGACTGATGCGGCCGCCAAGGAAGGGACGGAAAAGGCAGCAAATGATGCACCCAAGGCGGTGGCGTCTCACCATGCTGCGGAGAAGAACCCATGGCTGCATGCATACCACAACTCGGTGGCCGGCATCAAGGCATTCACCAAGTACGTTGGACGACGTCCATGACTGAATCGTTGCGGGTCTGGCCTAATGGTTGCTATGTTAGCTGCGTTCAACTCGCTGATGTGTACGGCGACGGCGACAACAAGTTGATCGTGGCAGACGCGGACCGCCGTCTCAAAATGTACAAAGGTACCCTCGTACTACTTGCATGTACTTTCCGACGCCATATCCCTCAATCGAATCGCTTGTAGGTTCTACGTTGATGAGCGAGCAAGCGTTGTTGGGTGTCCCCGTGGCGTTGAGTGTCTTCTTCTCTGGTACACGAAATCACTTGTCCTTTCTCAACACCTGCATGCAGAATCCACGCGACCGCGCACGCCGTCCATTGCTGTGGCGTCTGGGCCTTCCATTTACATTTACCGCAACATGCGTCCGTACTACAAGTTTGCAATTCCCGTGCTGGACGTCGACCCCGAAGAAGACAAGCTCTGGACGAGCATCGCCAAGTGCGAAACCGACATCCCCGCCGCCAACCACCAGCTGAACCTCTTGCGGTTATTACATCTATAACAATAGCTTCCATCGTGATCGCGCTTCATCATGTAGGGCTAATGGCATTCGGTTGACCCAGCGCTCCCGCGGGTTTCTCGCCATCGACGACATTGACCAGCAAGCCGATTACGTGTCCAGGTCTGTGTGTTTATTCGTCTTTTGGGCCTATTTTTTAATATTTTTCATTCCAAGTCTGACGTGTTGGGTAGGTTCATCGACGAGCCTCTCGTGGAGCAAACGACCATCACGTGCATGACTACGATCAATAAAAATATGGACGAAAAGGACGCTATTAGCTGGTACTACAACTTGGATGAAATATTATTTTTCATGTCATTTTAAATATTAATTAAAAATATCACGACATGTGATCCTGTTAGCTTGGTCGTGGGCACCGAAGCGTGTCAGGTACGCCGCCGCCGAGTCGTATATTTTGTTTAAATTCTACTTGAAATCGAATGTATACAACACTACTTGCCGCTGCGTTATATATATACTAGTATATATATATATATATATATTCTTGCCACAATGGAGTTCAAACACGTCTGTATTTAATATATATATATATATTCATGCCACACGTCTGTATTTAATATATATATATATATATTTTTATGGCCCTAATAGTTACTCTTTGAAGGTGTTCATCTTGGACCAACAAGGTACGGCGGTGCTGTGTAAGACGTCAATTCCGTCTGTCCCTGTGGACATGGTTATCAACGGCTTGTACGATGTCGAATACCGTGTGATCGTGTCGTGCCGCAACGGGTCTGTGTACACTGTCAAGGTAATAATATCCCATAAATATGTTTTATATGTATATTTTTAATATTTTAATATTGTATACATTGATCAACACAAGAATCACATGCGTCGTTTGGTGTTGAATGTTATATATTAATATATATATATCTTATGAATGTACACTAGAATGGCGAGCTCTTGCGCAGTGTGATCGAATTGGAGTCACCGGCGTGCGGGCTGTTGCAAATGGACAAAAACATCATCGTCGCATGCGTGGACCGCAAAGTTATCTCTTATCACCTCAAGGTACGATATATATATATATATATATATATTGGACGACTAGTGATATTTGGTGTGTGGGATGACAGGGCAAGAAGAACTGGAGCATGAGCATGTCCCAGGACATCGTCGCTTTGGAGGCGATGAACCTCCGCCGCACCAAACACACGAAAGGCATCTTGATTGCCCTCCGCAAGGGTGAAATCCTGCTCTACCACGAAAAGATCAAGGTGATACAAACTAACTACATATTTCGTTTAAGTTGGCAAGATTGAGAGTCACTTTGAGCCTTGATTGGATAACATGGAGAGATAGATGGACGGAATGTTGTATTCGTAACACGTTCAGGTTGGCTTTTGGTTTTATGTTTATAACTATGGTGTGATCATATATAGGTGCACAGCTTCAATATCGAAAGCAACTTGACCGCCATGTTATTTGGCCAATTCGGCCGCGAAGAAGCGTCTTTAGTGCTGGTGCACAAGGTACCATAATCGTACAAGTGCCCCGTCTTCCAACTTTACACGATATGAGCCTCATATACGCGCTTTATCATAATGGTACTCTTGGGGCTATGCGAATAGACGGGAGCGTTAACGCTCAAGATCCTGCAGCGCAATGCCGACTTGGAGGCGAGCGCGACCGCCGCCGGGCCCCCGCCCGAACAAGGTGAGCCCTCCCCAAGATAAGGCGATCCTTGTGGTCGATAGAACTATATATATATATATATATATCTACTGTGGAGGATGAAGATATGGGATTGTAATGTACTATGGGCTAGATATTCCGCTGAACGTACCCAAGAAAACGAAATTGTACGTGGAGCAGACGCAGCGTGAGCGGGACCACGCTACGGAAATGCACCGCCATTTTCAGGTACGATTCGTCTAATGTTGTAATAAAATGACTGCAAAGTCACTACTTCTTTCACACCAATATATATATGTATATACGTCCGAAATATCAATATATATATATATATATATTCATAGTTGCCCCAATTGAAATGTACCTATGTAGCGCGATCTGTGCAAACTACGCCTGACGACGGTCCGCTCGTACGTGAAGGTGATTCGCGACGGCCAAGTGAGTCCAACCCATCCATAATATTATTTTATTGTTATTAAAATAATAATAAATCGATGGCGGTAGGGTCCAGTGTCGTACGCTACGGGGGCGGCGATCCGTTTAAACGCAAAAGTGCAAGGCATCGGGCCGCGCTTCAAGATCCAATTGCAGCTTCAAGTAATATTTAAATATATATATTTTATATATATATATACTCGTCCGAGTGATTCTTTCTTAAAATTCGTAGAACTCGGGCACCAAGTTTGCATCGGAGGTGCCCATCGCCCTGCATTACGACCACACGTTGTACCGCGTGGGCACGAGCCTGTTTGTCGTGCCGCTTCTGTTGCCGGTACGACCAACCAATGACGACTTATTGGATATATATATATATATTCCAGTATTTGTGATATTTATAATACTCGTGATTCTTTGTGATATTTACATATATATGATCACGGTTCTATGGCTTACGAGTGTAGGGTGTGCCGTACGCGTATACGGTCGACGTCGAGAGCGTCGCGTCTGCCGCCGACAGCATTTACATTTTCGTGTGCGGAAAAGACAGGTTTGTGTTGATATATATATATATATATACAAGGTTCACATGATTTTTGGAATGTGTGCATGTAGTTGCGTGCCACTGGTATCGGCTGTGGTCAACATGCCATTGAGTGAACTGTTGGCCTCGACTCTTTCTTAAGTGGATACACTACGACAATGTATACAACAAACACCATGCGATTGGGTGTGTATAGCTGTAGTTGCAAAGTGATTCAATAGTAGTCCCATAGACCAATCAATACATCGCTCGTAGTGATTCGGTCGGGAAAGGGAAATGTTACTTTCAATATATTTGGCCTTTTGGAATGAGAGGATTCGAGGTATTACTATGATGTATATATACTCTCGAAAATATATATAGGTTCGTAAGTACGTAATGCAGAACATGGACTATCAAAGGTTATTCTGTCTCGCCGACCTCGGGGGCGGACTCCTTGACAGGACACTGGAGGATACATCGCTGTACATGTCGACATGCCAGGGCCTCATGAATGAACAAGCGCCCCCTTGCTGCATCGTGCGCCGCCATATTCGCTTCCACTTGCTCCAGGCTGGAGTGGAGAGACTCCATGCGTGGAATGTCGTGAGATAGCAATGCGTCGTCGATCTGGCCTTGGATGCTCTGCCATTCCTCCGTCAACGTGACAATAAGCTTGTGTTTCCTGGCGCATTCCACATGAACGTCCAGCTTGCGGTGCAAAGTGATGGCGGTCATGGATGACGGCTGCTCGTCCTTGTGAGGATGTGCGTCGACGCCGTCGGGCCGTTGCTCGTCGAACGACTGAAGCAAATTTGGATCGCAAACAATCACGTGCGCGACGGTCTCGTCGACCTGTCCAAGCGTAACTTCCAGGTCCAGCTGAAGCTCGTTGCGCCGTGTGTTTAGCTGCAACGCGTCTTGCCACGACTGATGCGACAGGAGTCGGACCGCCTTTCCAGATGTTGAGTGATGGAGGGAGATGGTGGCGGCATACCTCGTCGGACAAGCGACGGACGGCGTCATCCAGGCGCAGTAGTTCTTTGCAAAGAGCGTTGTACTTGTCTACCATGACGCCCTTCAAGTAGTTGTTGCCCACATGTGGCAAGGTCGACTCTTGCATCATATCGTCCCAAATAATGGTCTACGAGTCCGGATAATTGGTATCCGGATATTCAAATACTTCAGATATTGATAACGTTAATATTTTAATTCTATCAAATTTGGTTTGAAAAACAATAGTACTACAGTATTTGCTACTGGTAAAACCTTCTTAACCGAATATATAAATACATATATATGTGAAAACCGGCCGAAGCCAATGCCACGTTCTGTACCATACATATGCCCCTCAAAGTACAGCAATGCGAACTGCTTAGTTGGTCGAGGTTCTGATCAGTATTGATCTCGTACTTTTTTCCTAACGTGATGTTGTTTTTCATACCACGCAAACTCGACATATATATATATATATATATATCCATCTCGACTCCTGCGATGGTGGTGTTAGCCTTGGTTGTTGTCACGGTACTGCTGCACCAACGTGCGCACTCGTTCCGTGAGGGCGGCGATTTCCACAAAGTGTTTGGCGCGTTCGGCGTCGAGTTTGCACATTTCGGCTTCAAGCGGTTCGAGTTTGTCCTGGAGCGCCTCGGCGGCGGCGAGGTCATGGGTCGCGACCGCCGCGTCCATCTGATTCTGGATGTGGACCCACTGACTGAGCTGCGCCTGGATTTTGAGCTCCACTTTGGCGCACATGCCATGCTTAAGCGACACCACGCGCAACGTCAGCGCGCTCGTGACCGTCTGTTTGAACGACGGATGCGACGGGTCCTGGGCGGCGTCGTACGAGGCCAGCACGGGCGGGTCGTACACGATCACTTGGGCGACGGCCTCGTCGCGGTGCTGGAACACGCCTTCAAGCAACCGCTGGAGCTCGCTGCGCTGGTTCACGGCCTGCAGCGCCATCTGCATCGACCGAGACGATACATTTTCCCGCGCCTATCAAATGTACCATCAAGAGTCAGTGGGGTTGTCTATGGGTTGCAAGCAAGTGCAAAACACGGTGTGGTATAGTGTGGTTTTCAGTCAAATATTTGCCTATTGTGTGGGGGATTGGTGAAATCGCCAATAAAAATCGAGCAATGGAGTATGATTGGCTACAAAGAATCAAGGGGTTGCGATATGATTGGCTCAAAAGATGGATTGTTGTATTGCAAAGAAAATACCTCTTCAACTTCGTCGCTGGACCTTCAAAATTCGATATACAACAAAGTTGAAGTGGTATTTGTGTGGCTGTAGTTCAAAAATCATTCTCGTGAGCCAATCATAATGCACCCTTCAATCGTTTTAGCCAATCATACTGTTCGATTTGGGTTGTTCGCCAACATGGGCATTAAATTGAGGTGAAAAAGGAAGCAGCACAAAGCATATCATAATAGAAACACGAACATGGTGAACAAGACACAGCCTATATATCGTCGAGATCTTGCCAAATTGGGAAAATAAATACTAATAATAATGGACCCACGGATTCATTGGCTTTGGTACCTCTTTTTCAAGCTTTCGAATCGCCTTATCCAGTCGGTCAGCTTCGTTGTTGGACTTGTTATAGTTGTCCAGCATCACGCCCTTCAAGTAATTGTCCCCAACATGAGGCAACGTCAAGTTGGTCAATGACGCCGACGTGATGAATTCCTTGTCTTCGCCGCGGTTTGCCAATACGTCCAGGGGGTTGCTTGGCAACGTTTCGGCTTTGACGGGGCGTTGCACAGCCACGGGGGGGGGCACGGAGGCTGGGGGGGGCGGTTGGACGAGTTCTTGCTTGACGATGGGCTGCCGCGGGTCGCGCGGCTTGTTTGGCGGGGCGGACGGCGTTTGTTTCCGCGGATCATGGGGGGGTTGGGGAGTGACACTGGACGGAGCGGGGGTTGTGGCGGGTGGCGATGGCGAAGGTTGTTGGATGGGAGCGGACGGGGGGGGAGTTGGTGTCTTCGGGGCCGCGGGTTGCTTCGGGGGCTGCGAAGTCGACCGCAGCGGCATGTCGTTCTTGTATTGAACCATGAACTTGGATACATCGGCGAGGAACGCATTGTTCCATGAGAGTTTGGCGTTGCATAAGCCCCGCGCGTCTAGATGGAGTTTGAAAATGTGGGAGATAAAGCATGGACTTTTCAGAAAGGACATGCCGATCAGATGGAGGACGTACCAGACACAGGATACACGGGATGGAGATGGCCGTTAACACACTTGTAGCACATGTATCGCTTGCAGGACATGCAGTAGAACTCGATCTTGAAGTTCGTGCAATTCTCGCAGACTACACATGAGGGTCGTCCGATGTGAGTGATGGATAGAGAGGGTGGGATGTACTTTTGGCGCCGTAGTCGTCGAGTTCCTTCTTCCCATGACGAGCTTTCAAATGTTTCTTCTTGTGCTCCTGGCAGTAGAATTCGCCGACACATTTGGGACAGCGCAGGTCGGCGAGGCGCAAGCACCTGTTGTAGTTGCATTTCGCAAAGTCCCACTTGATGTCTACACATCATGCACGTCATGATCCTCATCGCCCTCATCCCCGCCCCGAGTACGCTTCCCGTGCGAGGAATCATGTGCGTATCATTACCGAACATCGCGTCCAGGACCATCTTCTCCGCCGCGGCGTCGGCCATGTTTTGTCGCTTTGCGAATATCGCAATGCCATTGGCTGTTGTGCTCACTTGAATTTACTATGTACTGTAAAACATAATAGTATGTAAACATAGAGGTTTTATATTATATGGGCTACACTATGCGGTACAAATGCTGGTAGTGCGAACCAAAGTGCCCTTTCGAGGGATCCCATTCTGTGACCGGCGACCGATGGCGGACACGACAGCGATTGCCCACCCCACCGCGCATGGAGGCAACCCACCGAGCAACAACAACAATGATGACAGCGCCTTGTCATGGAACGAGATCTTGCGCGTGCAGAACCTCATCGAGCGATGTCTGCAACAGTCCATGTCGCAGGTGAGAACGACTCCCCACCGTCGTCGTCGTCATCACCGTTGACACCTATGTCCTAGGCCGACATCATCAATGCATTGCAGGTTACTTGCTACAGTAGTCCTCCACCTCCCATCCAACGAACATGATGGGGTGTGGGTGCTGTGTAGGCGCAAGCCAACGTGGATCCACACTTCACTTGCACCGTGTGGCAAAAGCTGGAAGAGCAGAACCCGTCGTTCTTCGAGGCGTACACGCTACATTTGACCCTCAAGGAGCAAATCCTCACCTTCAACTACCTTGTTCGTGGAGATTCATGTGTCGTATATTCGACTGACGTTGGGGACATGTAGGTCAGCCAACAACGCCAAAGCATGGCCAGTGACCCCAGTCCTACCGAGCAGCATCTGCCCCAGGCCTCGTCGTTTCCATCGAACAATCATGCGCAAAACAGCAGCTTCCGTGGCGCATCTCACATGGCGCCGCTGCTGTCGCCCATCAAAACGGACTTGGACACGTGTGCGTTTTTCACATAACGTTCAGTCAATTGTAACATGTACTAGTAGTAGTTAGTATATACTATTAAGTACGCTCATGTAGCAAGTACATTCATGAGAAAACAGTGGAGAAGAGTGGCTTGCAGCAATGCCTATTGCCGACGTTCGCAGTGGTATACTAGCCGACAACCCCGATTGCAACGCTGTACTACATACTACTCGACGTACATACTATTAATAGTAGTAGTAGTAGTACTATATTGGACACTACCTTCTCTTGTAGTATCCTCTAATACTTCGAAGTACTACGTAGTAGTACTGTATAATAGTAGGAATACTTAGTATTAATACTACGTAGTACTATTAATAGAAATTGTATTTCTATGGTACTATGAACAGTATTCTACGCCTAACAGATACTCCTAACTCGTAAATGTACTACTAACTACTGTAGTATTACAAAGCGTCGTTCTCTTAGTTATCTTCTAAACTGTTATAGTTGGTCCATCGATCGTGGCCTCGTTACAGTATGTATGAGATATCATCCGTCGTCGTCTTCGTCTGTTTCGGCAATCGCGGCGGCGCTCGACGGCGCGCCGCCCTCCAACTTCATGAGTTCCGGCGACAATTTATTCCCCGTGAGAGTAAGTCGGCGCAGTCCGCCGAGCTTTTCGTACGGATTGAACGGGAGGCTCTCGAGGTGGTTGCCAGCTAAAAGCAAGTGCTTGAGCCGAGGGAGGTCGCCGATGCGTTTGGCGACTTTGGTCAGGCTATTGTTTTCGATGTTGATCACTTCCAGCCGAGTGCATCGGCCCAGAGAAGCATGGAGTTTGGTTAACATGTTGTCCTGTAGGTACACCTTGCGCAAGGAGATGAGGGCGCCGAGATCTTTGGGGAGTTTGTCCAAGGCGTTGCCTACCAAGGTTGTTATCACGAATACCACAATGAACGGCATGGTAATAATAATATAATTAAATAAAGTCATTTATATACAGTGAACGTAAAGCACCTAAAATAGCATATTTGGAATTACTAGACCAACCTGCAATTATAATACCAAAGAAGATATTGCTAATAAATACAAAATACCTATATTCTTTTTTTAAAAATATTTATTTATTCTATTAAAATATTTTTTTAGAGAAGGAGACTTATTTGAATATGATTTAAAAGAAAATATAAAATAACGTATAAATAATAATAATTACTTATTTGAACATAGGGATGGTATAAGTGGCTCATTAATTAATTGCCCTGAATATTACCCCTGTATTTAATTTTTTTTTTTTAATATTGACAATAATTGGTAAGGTTTTGCGCGTATCGTCGAATTAAACCACATGTATACATGTATGTATATATAATATATATATGTATATATATATATATATATATGTATGTATGTATGTATGTATATGTATGTATGTATATGTATGTATGTATGTATGTATATGTATGTATATATATGTATGTATGTACTAGTATATATATGTATGTATATACCTTCGAGATGGAGGATTTCGAGCTTGACGAGGTTCACAAACGACTTGGGCAACGTCCGCAACTTGTTGTTGGGGATGTCCAGTTCCTTTAAGTTGACCAATTGACCGATTTCAGACGGTAGTTCATTGATGCTGTTGGCGTCCAAGTACAGCTCTTCCAACGCCACCAGGGACAGCAGCGGAAGCGGCACCCGCTAGATCACGACGGGTCGTGAGGGATGGAGGGACTTCGAGGGGATTGATGTTACCGTGAGTTTGTTGCGCTGCAGACACAAACCTTTCAAACGAGCGAGTGTGTGTATTTCGTTGGGAAACCCAGACTCGGACAACGCATTGTCTTCGAGGTAGAGGGAGTCGAGGTGCGTGAGTTTGGCGAGCGCGGCCGGCAGTGACTCGAGCTCGTTCTCCCGCAAGTACAATTCGTGCAGGTTATGCAGGAGGCCAATGGCATCTGGAAGTCCTTTGAGTTGGTTCTTCTCCAGACAAAGCGTGCGAAGGGATTCCTGGAGTTGTGGGATCACACACAGTTCGCTGGGGACTTTGGTCAGTTGTTTCTCGGACAAGTCGATCTCCTCCACGGCCTCGTCGTCGTCGTCGTCCACGTCGACTTCGTACTTGCTGAAGAACGCCTTCAGCAACGACGACTGCTTGTCATCACCACCGTTGTCGCTTCCTGCATCTTCATCATCGCTGCTCATGCTGTTGCAAGCGCGTGTGGTTCTATTTTGAAGGGACACCAGACCAAAATGTAGCTTCCGGATAAGTTTTGGATTTGGAATGATGTTCGAGAGTTCGATTTCAAATATTAATAAATGAATGATAACTTTTTGTAACGTAGATGTTGTATCCATCATCTACTTTAATAGATGATCATCTACAGGTAGTGTACATTTCATTTATCAATAATATTCTTAACTGTAAATATATTCAATATATTCATACTGTATACGAACTATTTCCAGTTGATACTTCAGTACCGGTATGGTTAAAAGTATATTCTGTTAGTCTGGAGAAACTACGAACTTTGCTTCTCCTCAAATGTCGGCAGCGAAGCCTGGATGCACGCAAAGCACACATCGATGCTGAACGAGTCCGTCTCCGCTCCGTCGGGACCGCGGACGAAGCGGCGGAGGCTAGACTCCATGTCGATCCACACGGGCCGCCCGGCGCTCGCGTCGCCGATGCGCGCGAGCATCTGCACGATGTTCGCGGGGGAGATGCCTCCGGCGTACCCACAGGGGATGCTATCAAACGGCTTGGGGAACTCTGTCATGGGGACACCCAAACCACACGAAGCATCGAAGAGAATGCTCATGTTCGAAGGCGCGGCGACGAGCAGACCGGCTAACAACGCCTTGGTTTCTTGGTTGCTTTGAAAGATCCATTCCACGTCGGGGACGCTTCGAATACACGCGAGGATGTTTTCGACGTAGGTCGATGTGTGTTCTGGGTCAACAACCACGCGGTTCGCTGCAGTGGCGTTGACCTGTACCCGTCGGAATCCCAACTTCACCAGGTCCTTGACGAAGCGCGCATCACCAGAGAGGATATCTTGACATCGAGAACCGCACAAGTGGGCAGCTAGCTTCATAGGTGGGAGTGTGGTCGCGTTGTTCTGCAAGGATGCCAGGCGCGACACCCAAGCAGAGGACGCGTAGCGCGGAGTGCCTTCGAGGTCTGGACGAAAGAGGACCCCCCACTCCACCCATGGGTAGTGCGTCGAGATGATCTGGAGAAGCTTCGGATCGACCGAGTCGTCGGCGCCGCAGAAGCCCAGTGCACGCATGTTCGGCTTCATGAGGAGCTGCAAGTTGATGTTCTGCTCGGTTTCTAGATTTCGTCCAATCGGTTAGTACAATTCTCATACGAAAAACATCTGTCGGATTCGACTTTTAATTGGTTTAAATATTATTTATATTTGCATCTGATTGGTAGAATCAATCTCCGCTTTGATTGGTTAGTTGACATTGCAACGCTTCACAGCTCCGTACAGTAATGTCATTGGGGTCGAGTCGAGAACCTCGCCAGACATCCGTCAGACTACGTATCTAGCTCCACGGTTTTTGCATGCACTTAGCGTCCAATCCTCGTATACGAAGTGTTAGAATCTACTGCTGGATTCAGCGCTCCTTCAAGATGCTAGCAGTATTGCCGACGTGGCGCTACCGAATGATCGGCGAGCTCCGAGCCAGACTCTACACTTCCCTCCACAGCCACACCAACGTGCATCTCGTGGCCAGTACATACCTACTTAAATATAGCTATATGTCGTGCATAAGGCGATACCGCATCTCTTATCTGCTCCTGTTTACGTCGCCACAGGAGTGGACGAAGTGCATACACCACTCACTCCTCATCTATATTTGATGCCCCTTCCCCTCCGTGAAGAACGCAACATTACGGGAAAAGCGCCGCCAAACTCTCTGATTCATGACGTTCTTCGTCCCGTTGCTGCTGCTGCAGGGCCGACTGCTGTTTCTGCAGCATAACCTCTCGCTGCAGTTCGTGCTTCTTCTCAAGCGACGTTTCTTCGTAGCACTGCTTGCAGTTCATCATGTCCCGCCTCGTTTGCGCAAGGCTGTGACGCAGAGCTTCTTCCCGCGCCAGGTTGTGCTGGAGAATGTCGTGCTCGTACTCGTGTCGCTTGGTCATCGAGTCTTCGTCCAGCAGCTCATGCTCCTTGATGACATTGTTCGCGTGCAGCTGCTTGGACACCAGCGCCTGCATCTCCACCTGTTTCAACCCTTCCAGGTCGTACTTGCGCTGGATCCACTGTTTGTGCATGGCCTCGTCCTCCATCGCCTGCTTGGCCTTGAGGTCCGCCCAAGCCTCCGCCTCCGTCTCGGTCACGTTATCCCGCGCCGCCGCTTCCAGGTGGCTCAGGTGGTTGTCCAGGGCATGCCCTTGCCGCATCGCTGTCACTTCGTGGGCCTGGAGGGCGCGAAGAGCCGCCGAGTCCATCTCCTCCATGCTGCTGCCCTCGGTGTGTGAGATTTGTGGGACGTGGCGATACGCAAATCGGAACGAATACGCACGCTTTCGTAATAGTATGTAATACGACGTTTTAGTTGGGAGGATGTTGGTCATTGGGAGAGATGTCACGTTATATCTGGAGAGCATCACTTAAGGCCTGGAAATAACGTGGTGGTCCATTGTCCAACTTGTTTTTTGTTGCTGAAGGACAACGATTACTACGTAGTAACCAAATATTCATAGTCGAAAAGGTATGAGTAGTACTGTATCATGCATGTTATAGACACTGGTCGTAATTCGTAGGTGTTATTGGTGTTTGTGCAAATGTTTCTTGGGGGCAATGGATCGCAGGACGATTCGAGCCTACAAGGGTCATGTTACAAGCGACAGTATTTGTAGGCAGCATACATTGCACCACAGCATGACCAGGGACAGCGAGATGGACACGAGTGCAAGGAGACCGCCGATCGTCCATGGACTCGCCGCTCCATTTTGCCCAGCTGCCATTTGGATGACAGGCTTTACAATGTCGGAGACTAACCCCACAAGACTCAACAGGACCAACAGCTTGATGACCTACGAATAACAGAGTCACATTCACAGTAGTTCACGCAATGGAATGAATGTCGTTACCAATGCTTGACGACCCCTCACATACAGGAAGTAACTCAGCACGTAGAGAAGCATGAGAATGCCCGTTGCTTTTGTCGATTCGGCGGACCACGCTTCAACCACCCAAGTCTGGGCCAACCATGTCACCACACGCGCAACCCACACCACCTGCGGAGCGTCCCTTTGGATGAGAATGATGATAGTGTGGATACGATGGAGTACCTGGAGACGTCGGACAAGCCCTTCTAGAGCGGCGTCCGTCGGTGGCCGCTGCGAACGACCGCCACCCCAGATCAACGCGTCGAGCTCGTCATGTGTCAATTGTCCCATTAGTAAAAGAAGCAATACTCTCAAAATGGATATGTTACAGATATTGCAGTAAACTACTATTAATATACTAGTAACATAGTACTAGTAGTGAACTACATTAATAGTACTATTACTGTAATATTAATAGTATAGTAGTGAACTACTATTAATATATTATAGTAGAGAGCTACTATTAATATTACTTTAATAATACATTAATAGTACTATTACTGTAATACTACTATACTACAGTAATTGTTCACTACTATAATATATTAGTGAACTATTACTGTAATATTAATATTAGTTCACTACTAAAATATATTAATAGTAGTTACATATTATAGTAGTGAACTACTATTAATATTACATTAATAGTACTATTGAAGTAATATTAATAGTAGTTCACTACTATAATATATTAATATTCCATTAATAGTACTAACATTATTACTACTATAATATATTAATAGTAGTTACTACTTAATAATATTATAGTAATAGTACTATGTATGTATTAATGTTCCTATAATTTTTTATTAATATTAATACTATAGTAATAGTAATATTATTGCTACTATAATTTTAATAGTAGTTCACTACTATAAAATATTACAATAATAGTACTATTACTATTAATATAATATTAATAGTAGTAACTACTATTAATATATTATAGTAGTGAACTAAACTATAATATGTAACTACTATTAATATATTATAGTAGTGAACTACTATTAATATCATGGTACTATTAATGTAATATTAATAGTAGTTCACTACTATAGTATGTAACTACTATAGTAGTACTATTAATTAATGTAATATTAATAGTAGTTCACTGCAGTATCTGGACTAATAGTATACTACGTAGTACTATTAATACTACGTACTACTATTGATATTATTACTACGTACTACTATTAATATTACAGTTATAGTACTATTATTGTGTGTTCTACATGGGCGGTTTTTAAATCGCCTCGATCGGAATGTCCGCGAAATGCCCCGAATGACAAAAAGTGGGATTTCTCTCACAAAACAATCGTTAATAATCACCCTAATATGTCGCAGTTGCCTGAGCTGAGCCAATGGACGATCCAATATTGCAGCATTTACACATGAGCGCGTAGGCCTCGTAAGCGAATTTCTCCGTATCCCCAGCACACATGCACACCTATGTACACACAAACATCTCTAATGCACCCACTGACGCCCGCGCTACCGCAACGTGCGAATATACCTCGTCGTACTGCCCAGGTAGTTCCTTCTTATTATTTCGTCGACAAACAGAGGAAAAATGAGTTGGTCCATTTCTGCCCAAATCTTCAAAATTCTAACCAATCATATCATCGCGGCTATTTGTTGGCGATTTTCACAATTTCTCACAATTGTCAAGTTTACACCACACCGACGCACCCTAATACTCAAAATATATTGTACTTATTTTTAGTAGCACGATAGATAATACTCAAAATATATTGTACTTATTAAAATATATTGTACTTACTTATTTTTAGTAGTACGATAGATAAAGCCAAGCCATTATGCCCGAGTGGTCTAAGGGGGTGGACTTAAGATCCACAAGACTTTCGTCTGCGTGGCAGCACAATAATACTAAGCTTAGTATTATTAGTAATACGTAATAAGCTTACAGTTAACTACAGTATTTGGTCAGTACGTACAGTATAATAAGAACTATCAAACGATATGTACTTTTCATATGACCAGAGCTAAGATATATTACTACTGTACTATTAATAGTAGTAGTAAAATATTTTATCCATCCAACGTTATCAGTGTAAACGTTAACCATCCGAGCGGGTTAACCGAAACTGATCTTATGGGACTTGGCACCCCGTGCGTCAATTCGGGTGGCAAGTCCCATGAGAAAACTTTCGACTTAATGGAGCAGGCCCTTCAGACCCTCCAAGCAGACGAAGTGGCGGCGATGCGGCAGGGGTATGCCCTAGACAACGATCTGAAAAACATGGAATCGAAGATGGAGGACGAAGCGATGGACACTCACGCGATGGCGTGGGCAGACTTAGAGGCCAAGCAAACCATGGAGGGCGAGGCCATGCACAAGCAGTGGCGTCAGCGCCAGTCCGATTACGACGAGCTCAAACAGGCTGAGATGCAGGCTTTAATCACCAAACAGCAGCATGCGACCAATGCCATTCACGAGAACGAGGTGCTCGACCAAGACTCGATGGCCAAGCGCCATGCGTTGGAGCAAACGATCCTACAGCGCAATCTGGCCCACGACCAAGAGGTGCGCCGTAGTCAAGCGCAAATGGCGCGCGATGTTCTGGCTTCCAAGCAGACTTATGAAGCCAACTGTCTCGAACTTTTGCACGACCGGCAGCGCCAAAACATGCGGCACAAGCAGCAGCAAGCGACAGCCGACGGAGTAGCGGCTGACTACATGTAGTAGGGACTGAAAAGATGTCAGCTGAGTAAGCGTTGGAGTAGTAATACTGAAGTAGTAACCTTACTAATGGAAAGAAGTTGTGAGATACAAGTGAAGCAACAACAGGTAGCAAATGCGCCTGCATGGATGTCAAAAGCTCGGTTTGTGCTAGTGCTCTAGTCTTGAAAACATACCGGTAACGTTGAGACAATGCACTTCTCAATACCGGTAGTTATGAATACGACATCCTCACGAGTTAGCATATACACTAACGCAATAATAACGGCAAGCTGATTCAGTTGTACACGTTTTGTGCAGTTTGCTTTGCGCATATTGAAGGGCTTGGAAGAAAAAAAGTTACACTGCAGCAATTACATGTACACAAACTCAAGTATGGATGGGTAGATGGGGTTGGTTGGTTCCAATGGGGGGCAATGGGGCTCCAAGGCCATGAACGTCTGTTTCTAAGATTGATATATTCAAAAAGCAGTGCTGCAATGACCACTGAACGTCTTTTTCTAAGATCGATATATTCAAAAAGCAGTGCTGCAATGACCACTAACGTTAATAACGTTCTCATCAGCTACGCAAAGTGTTGAAACGTTGGCATACTGACATCGCACTTTTGCTGTTGGAGCACGTAGATGGCGGCCGACTGCTTGTGGCGCATCGTTTCTCGCTGGCGGTCGTGCTTGATGCTCAGGGTCGAATCTTCGTAGCACTGTTTGCACGACAGCACGTCGCGCGTCATCTGCGCCTGGGCACAGCGCCGCTCCTGTTCTCGCTCCAGGTACCGATGCAGTCGATCGTGTTCAAACACGTGGCGCTTGGTCATGGAGGTTTCGTCCAGCGACTCGCTGTCTTGGATGGCCTTGTGCGCGCGATGATGTTTGGCCATGAGAGCCTGCATCTCGCCCTGCTTTTGCTCTTCAAAGTCGTTCTTGCGCTGGGTCCACCGCAGCCGCATTGCCTCACCCTCAATCGAGTGCTGGGCCTCGAGGTCGGCCCACGCCGCTGCGTCCGCGTCCGTCCGGTTTGTGCGAGTCGCCGTTTCCACGTTGTTCAGGTGATTGTCCAGGGCGTGCCCTTGTCTCAGTGTCGCCACTTCTTGAGCTTGGAGGGCTCGAAGTGCCACCGCGTCCAACTCCTCCATTCCCCCCGTCGATGCCGTCCCAATGCCGAGATGCGAATGTCGAACGAAATTGTGAAATGACCACAGGGACTCATGTTGTTATTGCTTTTGCGAGACACTGTTGGAATATTGACGTACGCGTTTAGGAAGGACTTGCAAGCGAATTGTCCAACGACCGACGAATACTGTTTGAGCTATCCACGGGAGAGGGCGGCGTTGTGTTGACGTTCCATACTGTGGAACTTGTAGGTCGTAGTTGAGGGTGGTACGTACAGCGGTGTACACGCTGTATTGAGTGGTAAGTGCTGTGTGGGGGGCAATGGACAGTTCTGTGACAGAGCTATTGTGAGGGCTGTCCCCCAGAAGGTTTGTATAATGTCTCAGAGGTACTACCGGTAGTTGGTTGATACAGAAACCATATTCGGCGAATACAAAGTTAACAATGGAATCTGTGTCCTTATTGACTTGATCGACATAGACTCAACCCGCTCGTACACGAGATTACACCGCGTCGTTTATATCGTTCTAAATGGTGCATCATCATGGCACGTTGGTCCAAACGATCAAAAGTTAGTGGTCAAATTCTCAACAATGCACGGGACGTCCCACGACAGAATGACATCGCAAGTGCTTTGGAATTCGATCGAATAACAGGTACATACGCTGGTTTCTGGAACTCTTGGCAGTAAAGTGTTTAACCACAGTTAGTGTACCTTGTGTTTTCTTGAGCACCTCTACTAGTATCCTCGTGATTGCATGCATGCATGCAAACTACTTCGAAGTATAAACATGTTCCTACGTTGACTCATGTGTCTTGTCAAATGTGGAATTCAAGATTCCGACCATCCAATGGGACTGTATTCTTGTTCATGCATGAGCGAGGAGGAGGAGTGGCTGGAGAAGCTCGAGTCGATTCCCGAACGGATCGCGAATATATTCCAATCGAATGAATGAACCCTGGCATCGGCGACCCGATCAAGAGGCACCGGCCCACAGTCGTTCATGCCATGTTGCCCACTTCACGTGTCGATCGATGCCGTGTTGGACCCCAGTAGTACTAACTACCGTGCCTCCGCCAGCTAGCCGCAGTCCTCCGTTGACCTGCAACGCCGCCACCTTTGGCACCTCTTCAAAACCCATGAGCGATCCCGCCCGCGCAAGGCCTTCACTGCCTCTTCGAATAGTTCACGCCATATGATTCACAGTCAGTTGGCATGGTCGAGGAACGGTGAATTGCGGTCAACACATACATGTACTTCCACAAGTGCAACGCATGATTTCAAAGTTACACAATGAAACTGCCATATGCAGTGCCAAAGTATATACTGGTACTACTGTAGTACTATTAATAGTCTACTATTAATAGTAACGTTAGTAAAACATTACTAGTACATGTATTAATATTTCGAAAAATATATACTATTTTTAATACGTAGTACTCCGTCATGTAGTATAGTAATACTACATGACACTTACTATTAATATTAATACTCTAATGATATTGATATTAATATATTCCGATACTACTGTAGTACCTACCAATCAGTTACTCCCGAGTAACTGTTAATATAAACCTGCGAAATATAATAGTATCCGCGTTTTTATTTGGACTATTTCCTGCAAGTTGGATAAAAGGAGCACATAAAAACAACAATATTCGCAACCTGTCTCCTGCTGGTCGTGCATTCAACGGCCCCTTTCAACTCTCTCACATAACAAGGACATTTGTATCCATTCTAGTTAACCTTTTTGGGCGCAGGCTTGGTCGTGGCGTATCGCTTGGCGAAGAACATGGCAAAAAGGTAGATCAGAATGACCGTGTACACATGGATGGCGGCGATGCCGTACGTCTGGTTGGTGTTGTTGCACCCGGCCACAAAGTACGACGGGACGGTGAGGGAGATGCCCACGAGGAACTGGGTGAGCTGGGCCATGGTTAGGTATTTGGCGTATGGGCTGCGGTAGCCGAGGGTCGCGAAAAGATAGTACGTGTACATGATCGTGTGGATGAAGCTGTTGAAGGACGTGACGACGAGGGCCGGCGCCGTCGCCTGCGCTTGGATGAGGCAGTACATGCACAGGATGATGCCGGCGTGGTGGTACGTCTGCAGCAGGATGGGCTTGTCGCCCTTCAAGTAGACGATCCAACTGTCGACAAACTCGTAGAACTTGGACACGTAAAAGTGAGTAAACCACCTAGTAGATACATACATGATGTGGGAATCATGCAAGAGGGACGGGGAGGTCGGTAGGAAGGTACCAGCTGATGATGGACCAGTGCTTGCCGGACGCGTCGCACATAAAGTTGGAGTACCCCGGGTTGGTTTGGTAGTGGTGGTAGAAGATCGATGCCGAGTTGTAGAACGTCCACCCCGAGTACACGGCCAAGAGGAAGTTGTGCACGACGCTCAAGGCTGTCACGAATGGATGTCGCTTCCGGAGCTTCTTGTCCTCGGCACTCATCTCGAGGCCGAGCACGTTCACGACGACGCGGCAGCCCGGGCCGGAGAGGGTCAGGTACAGCAGCACGCACACCACCGGCACGACGGGGCCGTTGTCCGCGAAGAAGGGACCCACGACGGTGTCGTAGTACGCGAGCACGCCGTTCGAGGAGTCGACGACACTCATGGTGATGACGAAAGCGAGAATGATTGGCACTCTGCTGGTGATGACAGCAGCGTAGCGGAATTTGGGTGTTGGTCATCGGTTTGTCCCATTCAGGGAGCGAAATAATCGGATGGGATTGGTGGATAGGATTTGAATCAGCCAATTAAAGCGTAATGCCAGGGATAAACCATGCTACGTCACGTTACCACCTGGGCCCGCGCCTCCTACTGGCCCAATCACAGCGTGGCATGTTTTGCCGACTTCAAGCTCGAGTTCCAATTTGCATCCAACTGGGAGTATTAATACTCTAATAACAATATTACAGCTGTATGTGACATCCATTATTTTGCGAATAAGTTTTGAGAAAATACTCAAATTTGTGGGTTTAGATAGCGTTTTATGTTAAAACGCACTCAAAATATAACAGGTTTTTCATCAAAATATCGTTTTTATTCCCTCAAGTGCAGGTACCGTCACAAGCTATTTCCTCGGCTGTCGCAAGTTGGTGTTCGCGACATACTGTAAGTACAGTACTATTAATAGTAGGTCCATCACTTTAGACTATTATGCCAGTGCCAAATTGTGCGATCAATCGTGGCCGATGTTTTGGTATATTTTGTGTCAAACAACTCGAGATTTTCTCAGAGCATCTCCACTGCGCGACTGTAAACACTGCCGTAATTTCTACTACTATACGTATAGTACTACATACTACGAAGTTACGAATAATTTCACTTTTATCCGGGAAATTAGGTGATATTTGGTTCGGAGTGACAGTAAACGTAAACACCAAATTTCACATTTATCCGAAATTGTACCGGATACAACAATTGCTATCCGGGAAAACCGAAGTTTAATTTTACAGTTAGTGCCAAATATACTGTCACCGTGGTGGAGATGCTCTTAGAGCATCTCCAACGCATCCCCAACCCTATCCCCAAAACTTGTTACAATAGTGGTACCATCTAAGTTACGGATAATGTGGGGTTGTATCCGGGTGGATTTCGCCAGATTTGCCTTGGACAATAATTTTGGGGACAGCACGGTCCGGATAATTCCCTAATTATCCGTACTGTACAAAAGTAACGGTACAACCTAAGGCTGAATTGTACTGGTACTACAGTAAGCTTATTAATAGTACTACCGTAAAAATCCAGTAGATGGCCCGAAAACGGACCCCAGATAAGAGCATCTCCAACAGTGATTGCTAACGTATTTTTATTTGAGTACGAAATAAAAATAGGAAATGCCTTAAAAATTATCCACCCCACCAATCAGTTTCTATTCCGTCGTTTATTTCCAGTTTTCAGTCGACAACTTGTCCCATGGAGCCAACGATTCTCGAGTGGTTTCTCGATGACCGACGCGGTCCCGTTGATACTACAGAGAACCGAGGTAAACTGGCGCAGTGTTGCACTCGTGTATATATGGATGAATATCACCGTTACTCCGACCAAACTTGATCTTTGTATGTCTAGTTTTGTCCAATGAAAATTCATTCATTGAGGATTGACCAGTAAAACATTACAATTTATTGTATTTCTACCAATCCGAATTGATAGGGTTAGGGATGTAGCTCACATTTGTAGGTTTTGTGGAATATGTCGGAAGGTAGAACAAAATATGGATATTCCAAT